TCATTCATCTGCAAGAAACAAATCATACCCCAGTTCAGATACCTGATCTAAGAGAGTATCTATATCTTTGTTTCCACATAATGGAATACTAACTATTGACAAGACTGTGCGGTCCCGTTGAGATCAAGGGAACCAGGCCAGGGTGAGAGTTCTATGAATCAGTATTGTCTCTCCTCAGTACCTCAATTATCAGAGCACAACTAGCAAGCATGTTTATACTGGATGCTATTTCAGCTATCATGTGTACATAAGGAAGACAGAGAGGATGATAAGGGGTCCTTTACTCTAGCCAGACAGGAGGAACTTTTATAGGAAACCCCCCACACACACACACACGCATGCTGCTCATGGGGGTTCCCTGTCTCTCAGGAGCAGCATCTTGGGGAGCATTTCCTTTTCTTTTTTTTTGGACCCCCGAAGGGGATTTTTTAATTGCATTTTATATAAGGACAACAAACTACAATGAAAATAAGGGAGGGGAACTATATTTAAAGAGAAATAAAAGATAACCACTACTAACTAAAAACCCAAGAGAGGAGTTCATCAAATTTGCTTGTACACAATGCCATCCCTTAAAATGCTAACAATTTTATGAACTTAGTCAGATATGCTAATATAACTTTTAAATCTTAAATTTAGCTGTTGGAAAAAGACCCCTAAGCATCTCAATATTAACAACAGTATTTTCAAAGGCACAATTCAGAGTCCTTCAGCCTTCATTTTTTTCTTATCCTGTCTTTTCTGCAGTTTATAAGGACTTTTAGGAGCCGCTGCCCCTTTCTCAGACAGAGAGTCCTCTCCAGAAGACCCCGAGCCCAGCTCACCATTGGACTTACTGTCCTTTTCCTCTTTATCCACCTCCTCTAGCTCACCCAACTGGATTATCAGAAAGTCCCGTGCTTTGGAAACAGAGTCAATCTTTTCTTTTTTGTCCTGAAGTTTGAAGGTTACGCCCTCTGGATATAACCACCGGTAGCTAATTGCATTTGTTTGAAAAAAAAAAGAATTAAATCTTTATATT